GCTAATTATATATAGCAAATATTTTTTAATTCTTTTTGACTTGTTAAGAAATAATGAATTATTTGATGCTGCCAATTTTGCGCTTGAAATTCACCTTAAAGAATTTCTGAAAATCTTAACAATCCGAAAAAGAATCTTTGACCATGAATTCTGATGAACTCATTATTGATGCTCGTGAAAAATTCAAGGTAGAAACTTATATTCATCTCATAGATGCTGCGAAAAATTTAATTCAAAATATATTTTTATCCTTCAAATCATATTTTGAATTTTTTGAAATATTTTTCACAATTCTCAAGATAGAACAAAAATATTAATAATTTAAACAACTAAAATGAATAAAAACACTGAAAGAGACATTTTAGCAAATTATCTCACGAATAAATTAATTAATCCGATGTCATCGATTCATATATGTCACTAATTGAAATTTTAAATTTTATAAGTCGAAATTTGATTAAGGATTATAACGATGAAAGAAGAATTTCTAAATTAAAATTGATCAATAATTATTTGTGATTATCTAGGTACCAATAATGGTTATCGTCATAGGCAATCATTTCTATTGAATAGAAATAAGCCATTTAATTTTAAAATTCAAAGTGGGATCAAAATTTTTCAATGTTGTTCTTTTTTGCATGAGGGGTGCCAGATTAGTTGCGTAGATCGCCAGATTAGTCAGAAAGACGGCATGATGATATGTTATATATTTTAATAAATCCTTAGATCTATTGGTCAATTTTTTTTATAAGTGGAATCTTTTGAAATTTTATTGTAAATGGCATGTTATCTATTATCCACAAGTATTCGTATCATTTCTTATAAGGTTTAAAAAAGGAAAAATTATGTTTGGAGATATTTTTAACATCTACTTCCCTCAGAAACTGTTATTAAATTATTGTAATTTATAAGATAAGAACTAAGACATATATTATAATAAAATCTGACTAAATTTTTATACCTTTTTTTTAATCCAAGAAAAAAGTTTATATTATTTAATTTTTTTGCAGAAGTAACAAATAAATGTAACTTTATAAATAAACATTAAATTTAATTAACTAAGCGATAAGAAAATAAAAAAGGTAGAAATTTAATATTAAATTATTTGGTCAATACTTAAATTTAAAAAAATCGAGAAACATAATTTTTATCAGAGATCTGCAGAGGGAGGAATTGCAAGGCCTGGTCCATCTCGGGTGTGTAAAAAAAAACTTTCGGCCCGGTACGGGCTTCATATCTTCAGACCCATCCCGGTTTTGGCCTGACCCGGGTTTATGAGTTTTTTTACAGCCTGAGTTTTTTGAAATAATTCATCCCTGGCTTTTAAAAAATATACCTATTAGGCATTTTACTGTTAATTTTTCAGTTAATATTTTTGATATCTAATAACTTTTAAAATTTTCTTCTTCATTCTAAAATGAAGATTATTTTAATCATTAAATACCAAAGAAAAAGAATATATATTTGTGATCATTTTTGGGAAAAATATATTTTATTTTGTAATGTTGTATGTTTGATTGACTAAAAATTTAAAAAATGATAATAATTTAGTCTATAAATTAACAACTATTTTATTTTATTTACGTAGTGCAACAATTCTCTTATAAATTAGTTAAGTATTTTACAAAGGAGATAAATTGCTTTTAAATGGAAAGAAAATGAATGAATGTTGTTATATCATTTCTATGATACAATTTTTAAATACATAATAATTTTTTTTATATTATATATGATAGGCCTAATTCAAAAAAGAATATAGATCGAATAATAACTTATTCGTATTCGATTATCGATTATTATTTTTTTGAACTGATTTTATAATTTAAGATTCGTAATAATACCAATCTAATAATAATTAAAATAAATATAGTTTTAAAATGTTCGGCCCAGGCTTGGTTTATAGAAAAAAAATAAAAATACGATCTGGCCCTAGTTGTTAAAAAAAATCATTTATTTTAGGCCAAACCCAACCCATATACCCGGGGCGGCGTTGGTCCAGACCTGCAGGTCTCTGATATTTATCAAAAGGATCCTTGATCCCATTTTCATTCCTCAAACAATGCGAGCCTGGTAAGTTTATTTTTTTCAATCTAAACCGAGAATGGCAGGTTTTCAAGGTCCAAATAGGACAGGATGGGACAGAGTCGCTGAATGCTAACTGGTATATTTACCTACGATTAGTTTAAGCGACGCCATTATACTCTTTTAAAATGTAAATTTATTATAATAAGCACGTAAGACTATGACTAACTATTCGGTTTGCCAGATTAATTTTTTGGCTATATCCAAAAATTTTCAGAAGTTTTTAAATTTTTTAGAATTATATTTTGATTTTTTAATATTAAAAAAAATTTATTCTTCTTTTTCGATAGTTTCAAAAATTTCCGAATCAGAATTTTTTTAATATTTTGGACATAGCCTAAAAAAAAGTTAAATAAGGCCCGAACTCCATTACGACAAGTCCTTAATTAATGTTAAAATCATAATAATTGATTTTGTGGAATTGATATTTTTTTTTAAACATTTTGAATGATTTATCAAAGCCTTGGAAATGTAGTATTAATTTTTTTGTCAAATTTATTTTTAAAATATTCACTCACTTCAACTCATCTATCTTTTGAAATAAAGGTTTTTTTAAATTTACATGATCTTCATTTTTTTTTATTCCCTTAAAGCCAAGCGCCTTAAAGATTTCAGAAATTTTCTATTATTTAATTTATGGTCCTCAATTTTCATTAGGTTCTTTTTTTTTCTTCCTCCATTCTCTAATTTTTCAGTCATTTGACAAAATAATGCTGAAAGAAGAAGAATTTTATAATACATTTACACTATTAGCGGTCATTTTTTTCTAGTTAAAATTTTTTTTTTGAATTTTTATGCACTTTATCCTTGAAACAAAAATTAATTTATAATTTATAAATATAGTAAATACACTCATTTACGTAAGCCTTTTAAAAAAAAAATTTTAATAATATATTTACATATCATTATTGATTATATTATATATTGTTTATTTTTTAATCATTATTCTGTTTATTTTTTATATGATTTTAATATATAAAAAAAAGATATTTCCCAAATTTTTCAATGCCAAGGTTATTATTATATCACCGAAATAATTAATATATTTAAAATTAAATAATAAAATTACGATTAAATATTAAATAAAAAAAATATATAATTAATACATTTAAATCGTTAATGAAATTCATTACCAAATTTTTTTTGTGTATTAATATTTTCAGATGTAATTAGTTAAAATAAAAACAAAAAACCCTTGTTTAAAAAAAAGGATCTTTTAATAAAGTAAAAAGACCAATTCGTTCAATTATAAACCACACATTTATAAAGTCAAGAATATATATTTTTAACCATCTATATTCATAATTAATGTCATTCACTTCATATGGTTCAGCCCCTGTCATATTATATACTAGTCTGCAGCAACTATTACAATAACCTTCCTTTTTAAGAAACCAATGACTTTGACATATAATTGTAAAAATAACTCTTTTACAAACATTTTCATGGGGAAAGACTAAAAAGCTATTATGCCACATATTCATGTACCCCTATTTTATTTCTTTTTGTAAACCCCCCTTCCCATCTTTCCTTCGTTATTATCTTCTCCCATATCTTTAAAAAGGTAATCCTAAAGTTATACAATAATTATATATAAAAGATAAGCTATTAGTAGACATCAGTTCATTCATGAAAGAAGTTTTTTTTAGAAAAAAAATTTGATTTTGTTTTAGCCTAAATAAAACTGCGCATTTATGCAAATAATTTTACTCAAAAGCCTTAAAGGGGGTAAAGTAAATTATGGATGATGAAAATTAAGGTGAGAAAATAGTATAAAAATTTATTATATTTTTTTTAAAAAAAAATTTCTTAATAGATACATTTCATCATACCATAAATTAATAAAATAATCGAATTATAACAGGGCTTAAGCAGTATCCTGCATTCGCATTTAACAGGATTTGCGGCCAAGTATACAAAAATTAATGTAAATTTATTTTATTCATATCATATTTTGTATAATTCGTCACAAATTAGCCCTAACATTGAAAGCAGGGTTAAAAAAGTACCATGTCAATGCCACTATACTTTCCTTCAAAAATTTTGCGATTTGGGTTAGACTGATATTTTAAAATAAGTAGCAATTTTTCCCTTAATAATTTTTTATGTAAAAACTAACGTTTGGCTATATCATAACTTGACGGAATTCCATTTATAGATAATATAGATGTCTCGATGAAATAAAACATATATTTTTTTTTCTAATCATATATTGATTAAATTTGTTTTTTCTTCTCTTCCATTTCTTATTCCGATATAAGTAATAATAATAATTTACACGTGGATTCCTATTATACTCGTCATTTTCTTTCATTTTTTATAAATACAATATTATTCCTTTTTTCCGAGTTAATCCATTAAAAAAATTAATCAATTATGTTAATTAATAGGACCCCTTTTTTTTATTCGGAAATTCACTTTTAGTATAATTAGAAAAATTGTTTTTTAAAATTTTATCGATAATAAGAAACATCATTTTTATTCTCTAGTAGCTATATTTATCTTTTTTTTTTCTAGGAAAAATTTTAAAAGGAGATTTCAAATGAAATTTAGTGCTGAGTATGTTTTTGCGCCTCCCTATAGATACATTTTTATCATTGATTATAATATTCCTTTTCTATCTTGTATATTTTTTTTTAAAAAAAAAGCAGTTTACTCTTGCAAAAAAAAATTTTGTATATATTTTATATTGTTTATTTTACTTATTTTACTATATTAGTATAATAATATATATATATTTTTTTTTTTTTAAAAAAATTTTTTTTTACCTGTAAGAGATATTTTGATTTATTTTATTTTTTAAATATTTTATTTTTAATGTAAAAATAAAATAAAATATAGAGACTAATACTTTAATTATTAATTTAATTTTGAAAAGTTATTATTATTTAAATTAATTGATAAATAAATTAAATATTATAATTATATTTTGTAAAAGTGAGAGAAAAAAAAAAAGAATAAATAATCCAAATTATATTTTTTAAGGCGCGTATTTTCAACACTTTTCTTTTTGGATTTCGCTTATTTTATGAATTCGTAGATATGCTTCTTGATTCCCTTGAACTAAATCAAAGTAAATCATTATTATTTATTAGATATGAATCTCAATTTAACTCAGAGAAATGCTAATTTTTTGTAAGAATCAAAATTTTCGTATGAATTTTTTTTAAAAATAAAATATAAATGCAACAATTTGTTTTCAGAAAGAAAAGAAAGTTTTTATTCTAAGAACAATACACTTTTTACCTTTTCAAAAATATAAATAAATTATAGAAATCCCTCCTTCAACTACATATAATTTTTTTTTTAATTAACCTATTGAGGGGTTTTTTAAAGTTTTTTTAAAATAAAATAATCGATGTATTAAAATAATGTTATGTCACGCTTGATAACGGTGACAAAAACTTTCGCGCCAAAAAGAAAGTGTAATATTGTTACTAAAATAAATTGTCATTGTTCTTAATGTAATTAGTTAAAAAATAATATATAATATTTTTTATTAAATCGCATATGGTTTGGTTTAAATATTATTTGTATCAGTAATATTTGAAAAAATTTTTTAATTTTTTTTGAAGATAAAATGAATTCAGCGTTACCCGCACAAATTCATAATGGCGATTCCATTTACGCTAGCGAAAGTTCTTATCGTGTCAAAGAGGACTTATCACGCATGCTCGATCAAATAATAATAGTAGAACCGGACCAAAACACCTATCAAAATAATGGCGCCTCGAAAAATGAAACTATCAAATACTTAGTCATAACGTCTCCCGAAGACCAAAATTCTTACCAACGAGTCAATGATACCACAAATACCAAGCCCCCACGATACAAATACTACGACGAAAAAACTTCTAAGTTACAAAAATACGTGTTCGGTCAACACGCCATCATTCGGCATCACCAAGAAGGAACTAAATTACAGCAACAAAATTTCCAAAGTAAAGAAAACATTTCGATTAATTCTCCGTCGAATTACAACGGTTCCAATTATTTGTCCCTTAATTTCTCTTCGGAAATGAATTCTCTCTTTGACGCTAACATTAAGGAATCGCATGCTACTCTTGACAAATATTATTTTAATGACGGCGAAAGAAAGACGCCATCTTTATTCGTAACATCCGATCGCAACTCTAATAAAACGCCATACTACGTTGAAGATGTATCGCTACCCAGTCAAGATATAGCATCTTACAAGCTCATAAAGCATCTGAGTTCCGAAATCGGCCAAGATAACGATTCCTGCACCAGCCCAAATTCTTTCGAACCTCAATGGAGAGACAGGTGCAATACATGGCCTCTTCAAAGGATATTTCAAGGCGAAGGAGACCAGCACTCTGAACAGTCAACCCGAGATACTATCAATACCCCATTTAGCATTAAAGATAATCTCGAAAATTCTATTATGACTAATAATCATCTTCTGAAACTTCCCTTTGACCATAGACGCCCGTCTAGCATCAGGTCAGATATTATCAAAGAAGAGATAGAAGAGAACTATAGCACATATGGAAAAAATGAAGAAAATGAATTTATAAATGTCTCAAAATGCTCCAATCGTCTATACCAAACACCCACGACTTCTTACCTTTCAGAAAATGATCAAGGATTCTCAAAAAACGAAAATTACATGACTAAGAAAACGTGGAATGCTAATAATAATTATTTAAATTATCATTTATATGGTAATTCCGAAAGAACTCGTTCATCCATTTTTGGGAGGGGTGATACCATTTTATCCTATGATCCCCAGCCCCTACCCATCCTATCACACGAAGACATAATGTTCGAAGAAGATAATTATATGTCGTCTACCGAGGAACCGTATAACTATTCAAATCAAACCCATAATCTATACAATGGATATGAACCACACGTTTATAACACCTTAAGGGGAATATCTCATCCGTCTCCCATATCCGATTTTCATATAAAAAGAGAAAATTCATACATTCTCAACAATCCGAAAGAACCATTCGAAAAGGGCCACATTGCTCAGCATATTTTATCCCACACATCGAATTCCGATTCATTCTCAAAAAAAATTAAAGACTATCATTATAATCAATTAAAAGTTTCTCCGCAATTCATGTCTAATTTTCCGGTTAGCCCGAACAATAAAAATGGAAGCTCTACCCCATCTATAAAAGGGTTTTCCTCCGATCAACATAATGACAATGATTATAATAATAATAATACGAATGAAGAAAATGAAAATGATTATAAAAATAGTATGAATGGTACTGGCGGAGTTCCGACTTCTAGACGAAACGCTTGGGGAAATTTTTCTTACGCCGATTTGATAACCAAAGCTATACTCACTTCGCCCGATAAGAGGCTCACCTTGTCCCAGATTTATGATTGGATGGTTCAATACATTCCCTATTTCAAGGATAAAGGCGATAACAACAGTTCGGCTGGATGGAAGGTTTAAAATCTATTATTATAATATTAGTATCTATATATCGTCGGATGAGTATTATAGTGTTCTATAGCAATTTTTCAGTTGAGCTTTTTTTTAACAAGAATGTTTCTTGTATTTTAAATAGGAGATTACACTTATAATCCAAATATAAAATTATTTTAAAATGATATTTTAATTATTTTTATTGTTGATTTGGAAGAAATAATTCATTATTAAAAAATTGATTCGTCGGGAAAAAAATGCATTTTGTAAAAATGTGGATATAGAATATAATACTCAACCGACGAAATGTAGGAGATATACAACTTTCAAATATACTTATAAATTTAAATGTAATATTTTATTTTGTAAATATAGAAAAATCTCTTTGGGTTAGATGCAGTATTTATTACGTAATAGTTAAGCTTTCGGGTTTTAAAGTAACTTTTACAACTTCGCGAGGATTTAATGTTCTGGGGGATATTTTTTTATATATAAATCATAATATTTTTCATGATGTAATTATATAATAACCATTTTTTTTATTTTTAAATATGTGGTTTGAAGTTATATAAAAAAAATTGTCAAAATTTTTGGAAAATTCGTAAATGAAAGTCATGGAAAAAAAAATCTCCGAATTTTATGACATAATATTTTGGGGCAAAAATTTATGCTAATATATTTATTTACCTTATAAATTAAGTATTATAATATTTTAAAATAATAATAATTTAAAGCTCATCTCTTGCTATACCAAATGAATGAAACATTTAAAGTGGGCTAATTTAAAAATTGGGAAAGGGGGGGGAGGGTGGGTTGTGTGTTAAATAGAACTCCTGATCATTTTCTTCCTTATTTTTTTTAGCAGTGTTATCGCTCGGTGAGGGATGATTTGATCACGTCTAACATTACTTAGAGCGTGCCACTCATTTTTTGGAATTGGATTTTAATCATATACTAAGGCCAGGCGTAGATCGATTTGCAGGGCTTGTATAGTAATCCTATATTTAACCGACGAAATTATAAAATAAAAAAATTTACAAAATATATAAATTTAACCGTAGATTAAACTAAAAAATGCATTTTGATTTTTTTTTTATTCCACCTTGTATCCCCTTGCTTTTTCGTGAGATCTTAAATAAAAAAAATATAGTTACATTAGCACTATAATAAAATGGAAAAACTATTGATTTATCCTAATAAAAAAGAGTATATCTATCAAATTTGATGGATTATTAGATTTCGATTACTATTACTTATATATTGTTTTAAATTTATTAAACTTTCATTGGATCGTTAAAATCAACGATTAATAATTTATGAAGTATATATATATATATATATATTAAAAAGAAGACATAGTACTATTTGTTACATCGAATTTAAATGAACTCCCTGCAAAAAAAGAAGAGAGATTGTCCTTGTCTTAGTTTTTGCCTGTCTGGTAACATCCATTTAATTATGAGGGCATTTTGTTTTAGAAATATTATATACAGTAATTAATAATACGATTTGTTGCAAATTATTTCCATATAGTTGTTAATATCTTCCTTATAAAATTGTATAAATTTATTGTCATTTTTTTTGAAATAAATTTTATTCAATCATGTTATTTTTAGCCTGACCCGGCCCAAATTTTAAAATTAAACGATCGGGCCTGGCCCGAAAAATTAAGATATCTTAGAAATAATTTATATTAAACTTAAATCATTTTTATTTAATACTTTGTCAAATCGGATAGGTCATGTGAAAAAGAATCTCCTCGAGTTGGACCATAATCTTTTATAGAATTCTCAAAAAGGTTTTTAACAAATTTTTTTAAAAATGCGTTTTTTTTTGAATATTGAAAGACCTTCTTTTTTGCCTGATTCTTTTGCCAACCATTTATAAGATATACTTACCCTGTAAATTTCAGAGAGTGTTGTAAATGCAAGGGATTTAGGATGAAAGTTTTGGACAACTTAATAACAAAATCTCGAGGCTTGCATAAATATTATTTTGATTAAAATTTCAGGCACTATTGCTATGAAGGTTTGTGAATTAATTATTTTTAGGAAGTAGTTCAAAATTCTAAACAAAAATTTTCTGAAGTCCGCATGTAGTGTTGTTAAATGGTTTTAAAAATAGCCAAACCAATATTTTAGCCAAAATTATTACGCAAGCCTGGATATTTTGCTCATAGATGGAAGAAATGTTTGGAGATTTTTTAACGAAATCTTGAGGCTTAGCCGTTTTTACAAATTGAGCTGTTAACACTATCCACATTGGTAGATAGTTTATACACGATGATTAAAAAACGTGCGATAGAAATGATTTGCTTTTAAGCTTAAAAGATTTATAAACTCTACACTTAATATAATCTTTTCTTGACCACTAATAATAAAATTATTTTAACAACAATAATTACGGCAAGTTAAGCAATTATTATACGAAAGTTAAGTTGTTAAAAATATATATGGTTATAAACAAATCATATTAATGCTGTATATAAACTATTATACATAAATAAAATAAGCATCAATGGTATTAATATTTCTTATTATTTTGGATTGGAGTTTTAAAATGTTAATTTTATGATTAAAAACTGGTTTAAAAAAATTATATATATATTTTAAATAATGTTTGAACAAGATATATCATTTTTAAAACGGGGACGAGTTATACACCCAACCATTCGAATTATTTTTTTCTATCGCAACTTCATTAGAAGCAAGAAAATATACTCTAATAAAAGAAAAGTTAAAAGGGAAAGTGTTATGGTTTTAAAAAAGGTTCGCAACTGATTTTGTCTATCATTGATGATTGCCCTTTTTATACTCCTGTCATTAAAAAATATTTATTTATATTCTACCTTACTTGCCATATCTTAGATCTTGAAGAAAAATAATTAGCTGAATGATGGATGCGTGCACACATTAAGTTTGTAACGGAATCTCTTCTGTTTATTGAAATAATCACTTGTCAAACACCATTTTGATAATCGCCTTTAAAAAATTAACAACCTTTAAAATTTGACCACATATTTTACTAAACAATTTTTTGAATTATCCGATTCTAATCCAAAAATAATCATCATTTTTGGTTGCTGAATATTTTGGTTTTTACCCATTGCTATAGAGCAACCAAAAAAAATATCCTGTCTCACTATTGATAGGTCACTTGCCTCCATTTTTTTTTTTTAAATATTAAATTAAAAACATAAAAAAGTAAAAAAATTATCTCAAATTGACGTCATTTAGAAATCCATTAAATAATATAATATTTATATAAAAAAATTTTTTTTTGTATTTATATATCTACTACCTTTCATTTTTTTTTGATAGATTTATTTGATTAATTATTAATTTTTATATTTTGTAAGGGAAAGCTGAAATTAAAGGGAAGAGGGGGGGGGGGGGTTTAAAAATTTTAAATATAAATTATTGATTCACCGAAAGAAATTTTTATTTTTCCTTCTCGAATATCTATTTTACGAATTGCAACAAAAAAAATTCTCATGTCCCACTATATTTACATTGGGACATCACAAGGTTTGTTAAAAGGCCCGATTCTGGTCGATCTATGAAAAAAACCACCCTATATTTAGATTTTAACCAAAATATTGTAAGACTGGAGATTTTGCATATAGATGGTAGAAAGGTTTAGACCTCTATTCGCCTAATCGAGGTTTTATTTTGGCTATAAATCTTAATTCGACCCGAACCGGGATTTTAAACTAGGTCATCATCTCAGCAAAAATGTTTTAATTATTTTTTTCTACTAGTCTACTCTAAATAGACTTATCAGGCAGCTAGAGTGGAATGGAACCAACAAATTTTGTTTTTTTAGTTAATTAAGTGAATTGCAATTTTTTAAAAAAAAAAAGTTTTACCAATAGTTTACCTAAATTAGAGTTTAATATTACCTAAAATTCATTCATTTAAATTATAAATCATTTTATATTTATATAAATATTACATAATAATTAACATTCTAAGCCGCTTAAGGTTAGAAAAATTAGGTTTTTTTAAAAAAGTGAAAAGTCCCATAATTTATTTTCTTAGCCAGTTTCCAAAAGTCTTATCATATTCTTCATGGAAAACTACTCCAAATTGCTCGATTATTTCGAATCTCGGATAATAATATCTTGGACAAAAAGGCCAGGATAAAAGTACCCCAGACAAAAAGACATCCTGAATTTGTTTTAAATGCTTTAAAATAAGAGTTTAATTTATAAAATTTTAATCGTTAAATTTTTTTTTTAATTGAGATATTTTTTCCGGTGTCTTTTTGTCAGTGGGCACTTTCTCCACGGTCTTTTTTATTTCATTATAACTTTTTTCCCCTTCATATTATGAATGAAAGATTATATCGAAAAAAATAATGAGATTGGAGATCATTTATTAGGATATAGTATATATATTATCGCCAATGTGTTTTTTTTCCGGCAAAGTTTTATTTTTTCAATTTTAAAATCATTTTTTGAGCGCGTTTTTTTAAATATAAAAATCTGATTTAACGGGGAATGTATTCCAGAATGTTTGAAATATCTACCCCATAAATTTTATACAATTTTCACATTAACTTTTGAACTTAATTTAATTTATATTAGTTTTATCATAGAATTGTCTGCAATCTACAAGATAGGTATTCTAAACATGATGGAATACGTTTTTGGTAATATCAGATTTTTAAATTTAAAAAAGAAACCGCGCTCAAAAAATGATTTAAAGTTGAAAAAATAACACATTGCCGGAAAATAAATTGGGAATAATTTTGAATAATAGATCATAATTTTAAATAAGAGAATATATATATTGAAATCGCTTTAATGGTAAGAAGGCTTTCTACCAATTGCAACTTGTCAACAATTTGGTCGAATACCTATTAACTCATCTTTTTTATACTGCTGATATATCGTAACCTGTATTCGCCCAGACTCGGATTCTTCCTCTCTGAATTCGGTCAATTCCTCGCTGTTTTTTTTCTATTATGAATTTAATTATTGTAAAATGAAGATGTATGAATCAAGAAATTATTATTTT